GGTTACACCATGCGAGACATCCGATATAAATGGAACGAAGGACCAAACTCAGTGGGCGTGTCCAACGAGGTGTCCTTGCCTCAGTTCAAGGTGCTCGGACACCGGCAAAGAGCCATGGAGATATCCCTGACCACAGGTATTTCTTTTTCCGCCGCAGATCTGGCCCTAGCTGATAAGATTTTAGTTACTTAACCTCGACGAATTGATAGATTAAAAGTTCGATGGATGTAATCATCGGCACTTGTTAATTGTTTTCTTTATGAAAGAAACCGATTGTTAGATTTTTTGCTTTTTTTAAGAGCACGGGTTTGTTGTACCGTATGATCGAGAAAAAACGGCGTCAGCGATGGCTATGGAATGAAGATTGCTGTCATTTTATATGTAAATTTATATGGGAAATGTCATTGATGTTCATTTTCCAGCCAACTGGACGCCGTTTTTTTTAGATCATACGGTATTTAGCTTACTATATGTTTAATATTAAGGCTAAGTGTCTCACATAAAAAATTACTGAGCTTCATATAAGTATTTTTCGCAAGGTGGTGATCGTACCTAACCTTTTTTTTTCAAAAATGCTCATTAACTTAATAATAGAAATAAAATTTTCAGATTTGCAAAAATATTTAAGACAGATTTGTAAAAATTGAAAATAATAAGGAACCAGTTCAGAATTATTTAAAAATTAGATTAAAAGGAAATATACAGGGTGGTCCGAACTGTATTCCAGAAATTTTGGCAGCACATTCTGCAGCTAAAAATAAGTAAAAAAGTTCGTATAAATGTATGTCCTAAAATGATTAGTTTCAGAGATACAGGGTGTAGAAATTTCATTTTTATTTCGAGATTTTTTCCAAATAATTTATGAAGTAACGTCAATATTTGGATTAAAATTGGTGTCTGGGAGTGGTTTTTAGCATGAGAAATTTGATTTTGATGTCAATATGACTCCTATTTGCAGAGGGCGCCACATACATATTATTTAACTGCTTTGAAGAGTAATAACTTTTCGTATGATTTTTTCATAGAAAAATTTATGATTAATTTAAAAAAATAAAATTTTTCCAAATTTATTATTTCAGTCAAATAACTATCTACTCAGCGTGTTTATTTTTTGTCAATAATGACATGTATTGACTATTTCCAATCTAAATACCTTCAGAACGGTAGCTCGTAGCGATTCTTATCAAGAGATATTTTTTACGTAAAAAGTCACGGAAATGTATATTTTTTCACTCAGTAGTTTCATACAGGTACGGACAAAAAGTTATTACTCTTCAAAACAGTTAAAACACATGTATGTGGCGCCCCTTACAAATAGAAATCATACTGACATCAAAATCAAATTTCTCATGTCAAAAAACCTGCAGACAGCAACTTGCATCCAAATATTGCAGTTACTTCAGAAATTATTTTGAAAAAATCCAAATAAAAATGAAATCTCTACACCCTGTATCTCCGAAACCAAGCATTTTAGGACATATATTTATACGAACTTTTTACTTATTTTTAACTGCAAAATATGCTGCCGAAGTTTCCGGAATACAGTTTGGACCACCCTGTATATAAAAAAGATTTGCATTAATACTATACTGCATGATTCAAAGAAAAAAGAAAGTAGTTAAAAACATACAATATTTTACACACAAAATTACTATTAATCGACATTTATAAAGTAACTTCACTTAACAATTAGACTTGTAATTGTAAATATTAAAAAAGTATTAATAAAAATCCTGAAAATCAAATTTAGATATTTTCCCAATTAACAATTTATTATAAATCTCTAATCAAAATTATTTTTATTTGATGTAAAAAGAAATTTAAACTGATTGTAGTAAATATGATTATATCCAATTTTTTGCAAAAAAATCACCATTACCACTAACAGGCCTTTAAGTGAACAAGAAAATAAAAATAATCTTATACAAAAAGCGTCATAATTTTGACATCTACCCGAAGAAAAAAAATACATCGCATTATCAAAGTCTTAAACGCAACCCTATCCTAAATCCAATTTTCGAAACCAACCGTTTGTTAAATATTTTATGCTTATCTCAATATCTCAAAATCCTTTTCATGCTTATCTCAATAAAAAACTACCAATATACCGGATCTGTCTCAATTGTGGCTCACCTCCTATAACTTTTTTATTTTTTCAGATAAAAAAAAACGAGATTTGGTATGTTGGTATATGACATAAATTAGGATTAATTGACGTATTAAATTCTTTTTGGTCACTTCCTGTTTCACCGGAAATGACTACAACTTTTAATTTTTAAATGGCACCCTCGATATATTTTTACTTTATTCGATAGAAAATGACACTTTGAATAGAATTGTATATTATATGTCAACTAGAGTGCCATGACTGTTTTAAAAACACTAATTTTTAATCAAATAGCTTTGGAAAAATAGATGATCGTCTAATGTTTTTCGTGTCTTATCCTGGCCGGTTAAAAGATGCCCAAATCGTTTTTTTTAATCATATCTCAATTTTTTCAAATGGAACAAGGGTGGCTCGTTAGTATATTTGGAAAAAGCAATTTTTTTCGAATAATTTGGTACCACACACTGGGTATTTCGAGTCAAATTGTTGTTATGAACCGCATGTTACAATTTTAAATAAACCATAAATATGTAAAAATATCAAAAGTTGACGTATGAGATATCATTCTATTCAGAATGTCATTTTCTAACAAATAAAGTAAAAAAAATACCGAGGGTGCCATTTAAAAAGCAAAAGTTGTAGTCATTTCCGATGAAACAGAAAGTGATCGAAATCAATTGAATACGTCAATTAATCCTAATTTATGTCTTATAGTAAAATACCAAATCTCGATGCATCCGGTATATAAATAATAATAATTATTACAAAATACAAAATTCTTATCTTGATCTTTTTCAATTTTCGAAAATCGAAAAAAGAAAAACGGAAGAAAATTGTTATGTTTTTTTACCTTTATAAACATTTTTAACAATTAGTATTTAAACAGATATCGTTATCATTAACCTGCAAAATCTAGTTTATTCTCATTAAAAAACAAAGTAAAAATATTATGCGTTTATATATAAAAATCTTTTTCATTATCATCTTGGAAACTATCTAAAAGAAAATTAACAGTGTTTTCAATATCTCCAACTAAACACTCTTCCAATTCCACATCCCATTTCTTACCGTTATCATCAATAACTAACTCTGTAATGAACATTTCTTTGTTGCCACTCCACAGAAAACAACTCCCGCCTAACCTGCAAGATCTAGTTCGTTTACATAAAAAAACAGAAAAAATATTATGGTCTTATATCAAAATCTCTATCATCTTCCTCTTGGAAACTATCTAAAAGAAAATTTACAGTAATTTCAAAGTCTCCAACTAAAGCCTCTTCCAATTCCACGATCCAGTTCCACCACGATTATCATTAGTAACCCTTCAATCAACATTTCTTTATCATCACTCACGGAAACTTCTCTCGGCTGGCCTGCGAGATCCAGTTCGTCCCGCTCGATGGGCTACTACCTGATCAGATCTACATCCACATCCGGTCTGATCGTCATCATTTCATGGGTCAGTTTCTGGCTGAACCGAAATGCCACGCACCAGCTAGAGTGGCCCTGGGCGTGACCACTGTGATGACCATGAGCACGCTGATGTCATCAACGAACGCAGCCTTGCCCAAGATTTCCTACGTCAAGTCGATCGACGTGTATCTGGGCACGTGTTTCGTCATGGTGTTCGCTAGTTTATTAGGTAAGTATCTTAACTTTTTACCGCTAACGCGCGCTAACCTTTAACCGCTAACATACTGCGTGGCATACCGCTATGCAATTTTTTATGTATAAGACAGTATAAACAAAGAAATGACTCTTTTTATCAGGAGCAAAAATTTATCCGTTGCGTTTTTTTTGCATCTGAGGGTATTAATCTGTAAGAAATCTGAGATTTTTACGATAGTCATTCAACTAAACGTAAAAACTCCAGACCTCTGAACTTGTGATGATGAGTATAACTAAATGCGCCTAATCTGGCGTCGATGGCGAGTCCCGCCGGCAGGATTTCACGGTTGTGCGCTGCGGAGAATACGAGAAAATAAGCAGTTTTCTGTATGAAAGCGTTAAAAATTCAGCAGCACTTAAAGTTTACAATCGTCAAGAGGGCCGCGCCATCAACATAAAAACATCTCCAATGGAAAATGGCCGAGCTCTCTGACAGGGCTCTAGTACATTAAAAATTCATTTGGGTATTTCTCTAATATTTGCCTGGAATAATACGAAAAATATGAAATGATAAATATTAATTTTGAATTTTGAAAATGTAAATACGTAATTAAATCAAAAACAAATTATATTATTTATAGAGCTGATCCAACTAACTTTGTCAGGTTCTTGAAACGGATGGAGGAAAAAAATCCCATGTAAATTTTAAGCTGTTAATTTTACAGCACTTACATTTTTTTAGTCGTAAATAGGTTTTTTAAAAGCCTGCTTATGTTGTATACACATGCCAAATTTGAACAATTGTGGACAAGCCAATTTTAAGTAATTTAAGAAAAACTGAATCTATTTTAGGCTTTGGTTTCTATGTAATTTGACAAATAAATAAAGCTGTCTCTTTAGTTGTCAGTTTTAAGTCAATATTTTTTAATTCTCTTTTGTGTCGATTGCTGATTGAATTGGAGCCGGAAATGGCTCAAAACGAAATAAGTAAATTACCAACAGATATTCAGGCTGAGGCGACAAACGCCATATCCAAATTACTTCTATTTAAATCTCGAATAACTTATGAAAAGGAATACAAAAATTTTCAAAAATGGAAGCAATTAAATAAAACGTGCGAGAAGAAATAAAGTTTTTAACCTATCCTCGCTGTTAAAGTATCATTTAATTTACCCTGCGGTTAAAGTACTATTTTATCTACTATTTTTGATAGATATGAGGCAATTTTAACAGTTGCTATGGAAAATTAAATTAAAACTGAACAGGTGTCAATGCAAAACCAGACCACAAAACATCCCCCTTTAAAATTTTGACTTATATGCAATGAAATGAAAGTAAAATAAGCGCCCCCTTGAGTTTGTTTGCGTACTAAATCCATGAAATATCAATCTCTATATTTATTTTTTTTTGAATATTACAGAAACATTTTATTAATTGTAACGAAATAGGTATATTAAAATGGCATTATACATATATTAAAAATTACATTAAAAAATTGTTATTTACATATACAGGGTGGTCCGAACTGTATTCCGGAAACTTCGGCGGCATATTCTGCAGATAAAAATAAGTAAGAAAGTTCG